TTGGAGCCCATGTATTTCCGCGGCCCTGACCGGACCTCTCAAATCTGTGTTCCCGCAGTCTCCGGTCAATTTGAATCGTCCGTGCAATAAGGTCTTCTAGAGACTCTGGTACCCCTACTCGGGCCAGCTCATCTTTTAGGGATTCTGAAAGACCCATACGGAACTGGTGCCGCAGAGCGACATCATTCCAGCGTGTGTCTCCCATCCAATGCCTAAATTCTGAGGTATACTCCTCCGCCGCCCGGCGGCCCTGTCTAAGCGCGTATAACGTCGCTTTGGCGGAGGCTGCCCACTGTGGGTCATCGTATAGGATGGCCATAGCCTCAAAAAAGTCATTCACTGTCTCAGGGTGAGGGTCATGGTTTTCCCTTAACCGATGGGCCCAGTCCTGGGGTTCATCCTGTAATAAGGAGATTATGAATCCCACTTTAACCGACTCGGTCACGAAGGTGCGGGGTTGTAAGTCAAAAAGCAGGAGGCACGAATTGCGAAAAGACCGGAAGCGAGTGCGGTCTCCGTGAAACCGTTCCGGTAAGGGTACTCGGGGTTCCGCCATAGGTGGTGGCGCAGAAGCCCCCATGGCTGGTCCAGGAGCCTCTCCAGCTGGAAACGGTTCTCCAGATCATGCACTTGTCCTGTAAGGCCGCCACGGCCTGTGTCAGGGCCGACAAGTGCCTGCAAATGTCTTCCAACGGGGAGGGCCCTCCTCTAGGCTCAGTCATGGCCTTCTGGTACTGTTAGGGACCGCCTGGCGGTACCACTAGCACCCACACTGATCAGGCATCCCCAGAGCATGGAATCTAAGCCCCAGAGTACTTGTTCACCAGGGCCCCTGATGGAGGGGATGGACTTGGAGTACCCTGAGACCAGGTCGTGGCTACTGAGTATACCTATCAGTGTTAGGGGTAATCGCCAGGGGCTCCCACGGGAGAGAGCCTGATATGAGGAGGTCGGGGATCCCGATGGGATGGATGGATGAGCAGGTGCGAGGTCAGACAAGCCGGGTCGGTAGCCGTGGGGACGGTGCGGTACAAAGCAGCGGGCAGAGAATAGTCGGGTCACTCACCAGGTCAGCAACAGAAGGTCAGATCTAATAAGGGGCATCCAGGAGAGAGGTCAGGCAAGCCAAGGGTCAGAGCAGGAGAATACAGCGTGGTCAGGAACAATCCGGGTCAGCAACTTACAATACACAGGTTCGCAGATACAGGAATACAGGAAAGACCAGAAGGCACTGAATGACAGCTCAAGGCTGTTTAAATATTGTGCCCTGCGCTGTCATTGGTGCCAGGCGCGCGCCCGTGGCTCCTACTGCGCATGCGCGAACCCGGACGCCACGGCCGACCAGGACCTAGTGCCCGCGTCCCTGCACGGGGCAGCGCACTGCACCGGAACCAGTGCCGCGGATATCCCTGACAACAGCCCTGAACACAGACAGTGAGCATTCCTGGCCACTTCCCCATGCCTTCACACCTGTCAGATTAAAACCTGTGTTCATACAGCTGCTGTGTCCCCATAGTGTAACAGGTGGCTCTAGCCACATGAACAACCCACTCATTCATGCTGTACAGGCCAGAGGACCTGTGTGAATGGGGCATTTTTTACTTTTTTGTTTCCTCAGCTCATTAATTTCAATGGGATGCCTGATGTTTGGGAACATGCAAAAATACTGCAGGCATATTATTTTAAAAGTGTGTGCACCTAACTGCACAGTAGTGTGGTGCAATGCATTTTGGTGGCTGTGAATGGGTCTGTTTTTAATAGACGTGTGTAGGTGCAATTAAGTTTTCATCATGGTACCTGCGCACATCTGAAAAGGGCATTGCATTTCTTTGCGCTGCTGGAAAATGTGTGTTCTTGCATGCGTTTCTGCACCACCACCAATGGTGTGAACAAGTCCTAAGGGCCAGTTTTACACTATAGAAACAGTCTAGATGTGTTCCTGATGCGTTTTTGCATGCCCTTTTGGCATGCATGTTTAGTGTGTTCCAGTACATTTTGGATGCGTTTTGGACACGTTGCATTGCATTTTTGTATCCCTTCCATTTAGTTTTTTCTACTTTCTTTTTATTCAATTTAATTAGGGACATGTGCGTTTTTACATTCAAGGGCGTTTCAACGCGTTCCAGTACAGTTCTGTGCATAGACAATGCAACATGGTCAACTTTGTTTACAGCACCTGCAATGCTTTGAAAATGCAAGTGCTGATGTGAATTATGACATTGACAACCAAATAACCTTCTTTGCGATGCCGAAAAAGCAACTGAAACATATGTAGTGTAAACTGGCCCTAAAGATTATTTGAAGTAAGGGAACGGGACTGACCAGGATTGTGAATTCAATTAGTGGTGAGATACAATCAGACTAGTGGAGCTGTGAGATACAATCAGATCAATCGTATATAATGTGAGATCTGAGCTGTGGATGATAGAAAATGAGACACATTCTTGCTTACATTTATTAAAGAGGCACTTGATGACCAAATATTAGCAATAACAGTCATAACAGTGAGAATGAAATAAACCACAAATGTCTTTGTCATGTGAGCTCACAAGCATTATCAGATCAGTAAATAAATAGTTAAAAGAGTGGGGGGTGGTGATCCATTTCATTCAGATTTGCATATGGGACAGGTGATGATGGGGTGGGGGTCAGGGTTGTATAAGGAGACAGGTTTCAAAAAATAAAAAAAAGTTACAATTTATACACAGCATGAAACCTGCACATTTCCAACTTGTCAGAAGAACAGGACCCAGGTAAGAGTCACCCCCTTTCCACTTTCTAATCATTAGGCAAAATCTTAATTGATTGATCAATATACCTCTCAGTGACACAACCCAGAAAATGTATCTCCATTTTCTTAACATTCATAAATGTCAAGGGGATTATAATCTAAGGGCAGGAACTCAGCCATGTACTAGGCCCAATTAACCTAACAGCATGTCTTTGGAATGTTGGCAGAAACACACCCATACAGGGAAAGCATGCAAACTGGGATGCAGCCATGACCAGGATTAGAACCCATGCCCCAAGTGCTGTAAATTCTGAGTTCTAACCACTAACCCACTGTGGGAGACAGAGTTTGAGCTCCAATGTGGAATAGTTACATTGTTTAAAAATGATAAAGTGAGCGCTGGTCAAATTATATAGACTACTAAAATGGTATTACACAAGATAAATATAAATATAGGTATAGATATGAAGGTAGCAGCTAGCACTCAGGGTATTGGCAACAGTCCCAGAATAGAAATATGTTAAAGTAATAGTGCAGCGCTATAAATGCATGTTATCAGTCATAAACGCATGTAAAATCCAAAAAAGTGTAAATAAGTGCAATCATTTATTTCAGGTACTTATATAGCGCTGTCAATTTACACAGGGCTTTACACATTTATTGTACATTCACATCAGTCCCTAACCCTCAAGGGGCATACAATCTAAGGTCCCTAAGTCACATTCATACTTACACATACTAGGGCCAATTTGGAGAGGAATCAATTCACCTACCAGCATGTCTTTGGAGTATGGGAGGAAACTGGAGTACTCGGAGGAAACCCAAGCAAGCACAGGGAGAACATACAAACTCCATGCGTGCCATGAGTCAGGAATCGAGCCCATGACCCATTTACTGCAAGGCAGACATGCTAACCAATTAAGCCACTGTGCCGCCCATTAATAATGATGTAAACTGGTAAATGGTGCTAAAAAAAGTTCATATAATCATTCCTGAATAATGGAATGTCCTTCGTGTTTACCTTTCACGAGTTCAAGCACTACTGTCCATCACGGATAAACCACACGTGCCATTCATAGGCACTCTCTGAGTTGGTACTCTCACACGAAGGACATTCCATTATTCAGGAATGATTATCTGAACTTATTTTAGCACCATTTACCATTTTACATCATTATTGCAATTATTTGCACTTTTTGGATTTTACATGCGTTCATTATTGATCACATGCATTTATAGCACTGCACTATGACTTTAACATAGAATAGTTACATGATTAAAGAGAAGGAAGCTATATCATTACATTGGGAACTTAGAACTAGACATTCCAAATTATTTGAGATATAAGTGTGAAAATGTTTAACATTTGAAAATAGAATGTATGACATTCATTAGTAAATGCATTAGTTTGTCTGATCATTTTGGAGAAACAGCAAAAAAAAAAAAAAAATTATAATATAGGTGTACTTTTTATTTTTATATCCTAAGTATTCTCATATGCAAACAGGAAAACGCCAACAGGACAAAGCCAGCGCTTGTGCGCCACCTAGCGAACATATCCGGCATTGCACCTAAAAATGTGCCAGACGCGATTCCACATTTACTAATAGGAAAGTAGATGCTTTTCAATGAGATTGCTAGACGCCGCTCAGAAGACTGACAGGTCTGCAGAGACACAACGATCATAAGTTCCATCTGGGCAGAGGTTTCCAAGAATTTAAGTCTGGCAGCTTCCAAGTACAAAGTAGCTGCAGATCGCCATCACCATGTGAGTTCCAAATTTCTCCCTGGTGACAAGGTTTTGCTCTCTACCAAGAACATCCATCTACGAGTATGAAATTTGCTCCTCGTTTCATTGGTCCCTTTACCATCCTCCGCTAGGTCAATTCTGTTGCCTCCCTTCACATCTGAGAATCCCTAATGGTTTCCATGTTTCTCTTCTGAGACCGTACATTATCAACAGGTTTTCCCATTCTCATCGTCATCCTTCCCCAATAGTGAGTACTTCGGATCAGTATGAAGTCAAGCAAATCTTAGATTCCAAATTCATCAGGGAAGCTTTCGTATCTAATTGACCGGAATGGATATGGTCCTGATGAGAGGTGTTGGATTCCATCTACTGATGTTTCTGCACCCCGTCTGGAGGAATTTTTTCATCAGAAGTTTCCCCTTAAGCCTGGCCCTAAACAAGTGGGGAGACCTCATAAGGTGGGGGGGTACTGTCACAAGTTAGCTTGCAGTTTCTTGTTTGTGTATTCTTACCTCCTTGCTGCAGTGCTGTTCCTGATTCATTGCATATGTGTGGTTTGTCTGTGCTCACCTATGGGCCTTGTCATGCCTTTAGCATATGCTTATGTCATGTCCTTTGTTAGTTATGCTATGGAATGTAAGGTAAATTGTAATATCGCCGTTGCGCTGTGTCCCTCGGACACAGCAGGTCACAGAAAGAGCAGCTGTGTCCAATCACAGAGGATCACATGTAAACACAGAAATGCCAGTTATCGGCATTTCTCTCCTCTCAAGCTGTTACGCTGACAGCTCGAGAGGTGAGGAGAGCCGGTAATCGGCTTTCCGTGGAGGGGACATGTACACTGATCATCAAGGCACTGATGATCAGTGTGCCCTGATGATCAGTGTGGTCCCAGAAGTGCCACCTGTCAGTGTCCATCAGTGCCAGCAGTCAGTGCTCATCAGTGCCACGTGCCAGTGCCCATCAGTGCCACATCAATGCCACATATCAGTGCATTAGAGTGCACATCAATGACACATATCAGTGCCCATCTGAGCTGCCTTTCAATGTCATCCATCAGTGCCAGTCAGTGCCACCTATCAATGCCAATTAGTGTCACCTATCAGTGCTGCCAATCAGTGCCACCTACCAGTGCCAGTCAGTGTCGCCTATCAGTGCGCATCAGTGCCAGTCAGTGCCGCCTATCAGTGCCAGTCAGTGCCGCCTAACAGTGCCAGCCAGTGCCACCTATCAGTGCCATATATCAGTGTCATATCAGTGCTGCCTTTCAGTGCCCATCAGTGATGCCTGTCAATGCCCATCAGTGCAACCTACCAGTGCCTCCTCATCGGTGCCCATCAGTGCCACCTATCGGTGTCCATTGGTGCAGCCTATCAGTGCCCATCACTGCAGCCTCATTAGCGCACATCAGTGAAGGAGAAAAAAATCACTTATTTACAATATTTTATAACAAAAACTAAGAAAAAATGTTTTTTTTTTCAAAATTTTCAGTGGTTTTTTGTTTGTTTAAGAAAAAATCAAAATCCCAGAGGTGATTAAATACCACCAAAAGAAAGCTCTGTCTCAAAAAAAATGATAAAAATTTCATATGGGTACAGTGTTGCATCACCGCACAATTGTCATTCAAAGTGTGACAGCGCTGAAAGCTGGAAATTGGCCTGGGTAGGAAGGGGGTATAAGTGCCCTGGAGGCTAGTGGTTAAAAGCCACCGTAGTTTTCCTATCATCCTATGGTCTTCAGCATGAGGTCTTAGAGACATTTCCTAGCAGCCATCTTACATCTCCAGAGGACTTCACACTTATTCAGCTGTAGTTCTGTTGTCAGCCTATCGGAAACATCGTTGGTATGTTTTAAACCCTTTCTAGTTAGACTAGTGTGTCAGGACTGTATATTTTGTATATTGTATACACTGATTGAATGTTATTTCTTTCATTTGTATTGAATGTTTTTTCACTCTAACTCCCCTGCAATAAAAGTTGAAAAGAGGACCTAGCGCCTGCATCAATGAGTTGTTAAGGGAGGAGGGTTAGCTGTCTGTCTAGTTATACCTCAGCCACATATAGTGAGGGCAGAACAGTAAAACGGTGGCTCCAAACAGGCTTGGACACAGAAGGCCAGCAAAACAGTGGCACCAAGCAGGCTTACACACACACTGAAAGCCAGTGAAACATTAGCATTTTAACAGGCTTCCACATTGCAATACATCATGTCAGAAAAAAAGTCAGTGCCATTAAAGACAAGGTCCCAAGTCTCGGTTAGCTCCAGGAGCTAAAAGAGGTCACTGAGCAGTGACATGGTCGCTATTGCCCCCGCAAAAGCAGAAGCTGCAAAGGTAAAGGCTGCCTTTGCCGAAAAAGAGATGCAAATTAAACTAGAGAAGCTACACATAGAAGCTGTGTTAGAGAAGCTATGCATAGGAGCTGTGTTAGATAAATTGGCTGCAGAGAAGGAAGCAGTGGCAGCAGTAGCTGAGGCAGACATCTTAGAAGAACTTTCAAAACCCACCAGTGAGAGACTCAGCAACATAGTTGAGATTAAACCTGATCATCATGACAATTTGCAGCGTACTGCAGACTATGTGCTGCAACTTGCCAAGCCAAATGACTGCCCTCATTCAGCTCCAAGAGCAGAGTCGACTCCTGCAGTCCATACACCCTACATCAAGCTAGAAAACAATCCCATACTGGGTGAGCCTTCAGTGAAACCTGCATCGAAGCTATCAAACCCCTATGATACAGTCGCTCACTTCAGAAAGGAAGGATCGTGGGGTAGAAATCACAGCGACAGCATTTCTGATGACCACAAGTACCCACCAAGTCCTCCGCACAACAGAACACCTCCAGACTACTCACACAAAGATGAAGATATGTTGGATTTCCTCAAGTTCTTTGCACGCCGTGAGCGGTTGATAAAAGGACTCACAAGGTTTAATGACCGACCTGAAGGCTATAGAGCATGGCGATCATCCTTCAGCAATGCAATAAAAGATCTAGATCTATCTGCAAGTGAGGAGACCGATCTCTTAGTCAAATGGCTGGGGAATGAGTCAGCAGAACACGCAAAAAGAATCAGAGACATCAATGATAACTTCCTAAGCAGAGGACTGAGCATGAGAATTGAGGAGTGTTACGGTACCCCAGAAGCCATAGAAAATTCACTCTTCAAAAGAATAGAGGACTTCCATAAGATTCCTAACAAAGGCTTCCAGAAGCTGAGAGAGTTAAGTGACCTGGTGTCAGAGCTCCACGTTGCCAAGGAAGAAGGATATTTGCCAGGCCTTGCCTTTCTAGATACAGCCCAAGGTGTTAATCGCATCGTGCAAACACTGCTTTACAGCCTTCAAGAAATGTGGGTTACATGAGGCTCCAACTACAAGCAAAAACATAGCGTTGCTTTCCCACCATTCTCTTTCTTTAAGGACTTTATTCGCCAACAAACAAAGATTAAAAATGATCCCAGTTCTGACTTTTCATCATATGACTCTACTTACCCTAGGACAGGTAAGCCTATTTCAATTCGCAACTTCATGAGACATATCTGTTGCAATACACAATACAAGCGTATCACCAACAGAGAACCCAAGCAGAGAGTGTCCCTGTTACAAGAAGCTCCACTTGTTGCTAAAGTGCAGAAGTTTTATAGAAAAAAACTCTCCAAGATCGCAAAACCTTCCTCAAAGAAAACAGAATTTGCTACAGGTGCTGTGCATAAACTTTGCACCTTGCAAAGAACTGCAAAGAAGGCATAAACTGTTTAGAGTGTGACAGCACAGAGAACAATACGGCTCTACATCCATGGTCAGCCCCATGTACTCTTACCTCCTCAAACCAGGCTGAAGAGTGGGGGGAGCAGCAAGCCACAGTACCTCCTGTAGTGACACCCTAGTGCACCCAAGTCTGTGGAGAATGTCTCTTTGGCAAATCCTACTCCAAGATTTTGTCAGGGCAGGAGCGGAGGAATGGGCAGGCAGGCCTAATTGTAGGGTCACGCAGCGACTGACAACAGCCGCTACTCACAGAACAGAGTCCCTCAGGGCGCAGAGTCTAAGCCCCAGGCTGCCCTTCACCAGGGCCCCTGATGGTGGGGATGGACTTGACGCAGCCTGAGACCAGGTCGCGGCCCCCGAGTAACCCCAGCTACGGTAACGACTGCCGCCAATGGCGTACAGCTGGTGGGAGCCAGATGGAAAACGTATAGCGTGGTCGGACAGGCCAGGTCGATAACAACGGAGCAAATAGTACAAGACGGTAGACAAGAATTCTCAGGTCACGTGCCGGGTTCAGCAACAGGAGGTCAGGTAATGGGATAAAGCAGAGAATAGTCTTGTCCAAGCCGAGTCGGTTACCAGGAGAGCAACGAGAACCGAACAAGAGCTTGCTGCAAAGGAACATACAGGACACGAATGCAAAGAGCAACTGCAGACAGTAGGCTTAAATATGATCAGCCTCACCCTTCTGGAGGATGAGCCGCAGAGGCCTGAAAGCATAAAGGCTCACACCATGCTTTGCAGGAACTTAAGATGGATGCCAGCACATGGAGCAACACAATCTCTGAGGAAAGGTAGGACCTTGACAGCACCTCCTCCTCAAGGACCCCTCCCCCCCCCGCGGCTCCACAAAAGGCTTCTGAGGAAAAGCGCGGAGGAGGGCAGGAGCATGAACATCCGTGGAAGGAACCCAGGAACGCTCCTCGGGGCCATAACCACGCCAATGGACCAGGAACTGCACCCAACCGCGGACCATCCGAGAGCCCAGGATGCGGCTCACCTCATACTCCTCATGACCATCAACCCGGATAGGACGAGGCCGAGGCGGAGAGGCAGTAAAGCTATTACAGACCAGAGGCTTCAATAGGGATACATGGAAGACATTGGAGATACGCATCTCAGGAGGAAGAGCAAGGGCATAGGCAACCGGGTTCACCCTGCGGAGGATGCGGGAAGAACAAAACGGGGAGCCAGTTTCGGTGTGGGCACCCGAAGATTGAGGTTGCGAGTGGACAACCACACCCGATCTCCGACCTGGTATGAAGGAGCGGGGGCAACCATCTGCGATCAGCCTGGAGCTTCTGGCGCTGTGCTGAGTCCTTCAAGGACCTCTGCATCTGCCCCCACAAGGAACGCAGGGCAGCCAGATGGTTATCCACAGCCAGAATGTCCTGTGGCGAGAACAACTCAGGCAATACCGCGGGTTGGAACCCATAGTTGGCCATGAAGGGGGACATCCCGGAGGAGGAGTTGACAGCCGAGTTCCTCGCAAACTCTGCCAATGACAGGAGATCGACCCAATTGTCTTGATGGTCTTATATATAGCAGCGAAGAAATTGTTCCAGGGCCTGATTGGAACGCTCCGCAGCCCCATTGGACTGCAGGTGGTAGGCCGAAGAGAAGGAGAGCTTGATATCCAACTGGGAGCAGAAGGCACGCCAGAACCTGGACACAAACTGGCTCCCACGGTCCGAGACAATCACCTTGGGCAACCCATGTAAGCGAAAAATCTCCCTGGCGAAAACTGTAGCCAGTTCTCGCGCAGTCGGCAATTTCTTGAACGGAACGCAATGGCACATCTTTGGAAAAACGATCAATCACCATAAGAATGACCGTATGGCCTTGAGACGTCGGGGGGTCCACAATAAAATCCATGCCTAGGTGTGACCAGGGACGCTCCTCATTCGGAATGGGTTGCAGAAGACCCAATGGAAGATGCTGAGGAGATTTATTCTGGGCACAGACCGAACATGACGCTACGTATGAGGCGATGTCGAAACGGAGAGATGGCCACCAGAATGACCGAGAGATGACCCAGGACAACTGGTTCCTACCTGGATGGCCGGCAGCCTTGGAATTATGGTAGGCACGTAGCAAGCGGGTGCTCAATCCCTCAGGTACAAAACATCTTCCAGCCTGTCTCTCAGAAAGAGCATTAGTTTGAGCCGCCAAAATCTGCTCCCCAAGGGGAGAAGTCAGGTTGGTACGAATGGCAGCCAATATCTGGTCTGGAGGTATGACCGAGGTTGGCTCAGAGTCCTCCCTGGACAGCTCAGAGTATTGCCGTGACAAGGCATCAGCCCTGACATTCTTGGAGCCAGGCAAATAGGAGACCACATAGTTGAAACGCGACAAGAACAGAGCCCATCTGGCCTGACGGGGCATCATCCTCTTAGCCTCCGAGAGATACGTCAAGTTCTTGTGGTCAGTGAGAATGAGAACCGGAACCACAGCACCCTCGAAGCAGGTGCCTCCATTCCTTA